TTTGTGCAAGAAAACTCCTACAAGATAGGACTTAAATTTTCTCAAAAATATTCCCCCCCTTTAATGGATTAAGGCTGCTCGACAATGTGGAATAAAGAAGAAGAAAAACCGGCCTCATATATATAGACAAGGATAGAGTCCTAAAACTTAGGTAAACATAATCTTTTCTGGACACAAATTAGGAAAACTCATCCCTACTTATTAGAGATAAAATTTTCGACCCCCCTACTACTAAAAGGACTCAAATACACGGCCACACACATGCATAATTGTATTAGAAGACTCAAAAATTTTCAGATTAGGATAAGACTTCCTTATCTCAATAGTTTTCGAAAATGGACTCACTTTAAAACTCTAATTATAATCTCACTGAAATTATAATTTAACACATACAAAAATTAGTATTTAAATCCAAGTAGGACTCAAATAAAACACACAATAAAATTGTATTACAATTAGGCAGGCAGCAAATTTTCGGCCATTGTGAACACAAAAATCCAAAACCGAATAGGACTCAAATCATAACACAATTTGGACTCAATGACCTTAATTTTAGGGCTAAAATTTTCGGCCATGTGAACACACAAATACTAGACCGAATTGGTCTCCATGTGTAACACAAATAGACAACCAAAATTCAAATTCAACTAGGACTAGGAAACCCTAATTTTTAGCTTCACAATTTTGGGTATACTATGACTCTAAAATTTAAAACCAACTAGGCTTAGAATTCCACATAAATCACACGCACACACATGCAAAAAGTCAGCAAAACTTCGGCTATTAACCTTTTACCACATAGTTAAAATTTAAAAAATTACCTTTGACTCACTTAAAAAGGAAACTTGAAAATTACCACTTTCCAAAAATGGAAAACAACTTTTAGAATCTTTCTAAAAACCCTTTTCCAAATTGTACTTGGAATTAACAAAAATCACTTTTTACCAAAACAATCCATGGCAAATAAAGTAACAAGAACACCATAATTATAATGAAGTAGGAAATTAAAGTTCCTCATTCAACTATGACATTTACTTCATAATACTCAATTTAACATAAATCATTCTTAAAACTCAATGACTCGACAATGCCATCTTTATAAGTGACCATTGAAAATCAAATTTTCCAACAACCAAATATGTAAACTTTAAGAATATATCTCAAAGCCTATAAGATTTCTTGTCATAAATAAGAAAATCTTTTTTTTGTAAAACTCCACTTAATTCTCGATTTAATTTTCGAAAATCAAGGTTTTGAACACAAGTCAAAAACTTCAACCCTTAAAGTTGGCACAATTCAACTTCAAAGACCTTTTAAACACTTTGATACCAAAAACTGATATCACTAAAATTCATTCCTCGTCGCATGATAAAGAAAGTTTTGAAACTCAAGTTAAGAATCATGGAAAGTCCAATGATAGGAAGATCCACTAATTTGACTCATTCTCAAAGTATAAAACTCGAGAAAACAAAAGACCAACATTTGTTACTTTTGAAAAATCTTTTGACACTAAGATTTAAACCAAAAAAAAAATAATCAACAAAGTTCGGTCTCTATGAAATTCTCATTAAATTGAAAATCCATAAATTCCATTTTACTCATTTGATTCAAATGAAACCAACAAGAAGGAAGGCTTTTTCATTTATACCTTATGTACAAAATCACTAAGCTTCACCTTTCAAAGAATAGATCCAAGATATTTACCACAAGATAAACTCTCAAATCCTCCTTATGTAAAGACATCTCTTTAGAAAGAAAAGGCTGTCTCGAGCAAAAAAGCTCTTCTTTGGCATCAATTCTCTCCTTAAAGATTCAACACATAAGATCCACTAACTTGCTAATAGGAGAAACAGTTCTCTACTTGCAAATCAAGGACAAATTTTAAGATGTAGCGCCCACTTTGACTAGATACCAATGTACCATCATCAAGCTCTCGCATAGACCTCAAAATAACACCACAAGATCAAACAAATGTGTAAGATGTCTCGCACAACCACACAAAAGACAAGATCATTTTTGAAAACGTAGTTTTCACAAGAATGTGATTTATTTTTTCAAAACCCATTCTGCAAAGAGAAGGAACCTTGAAACAAATAAAGATAGTACTACTCGTTAGTAGCACAAAGCTTGATTACCACATCAAGTAACGGATTCCGTGGCAACTCAAGATATTCTCAAAACCAAGAACTATGAAATCCTCAATCAAGAAGAAATCTCTAGAAAATCAAACTGATAATAGAAACTGATATGATAATATCAATTAACACCATCACTAAGATAGTCCAAGCTCTGATATCAAGAAACTGATAGCAATCTCGTAGACGAAGCAAATTTTGTTAATGCAACCATCAACGAGAAAGTACGAAGATAATTTTTTCTATCCCGTGAAACTCAAAAGAGTGCGAAAAATTCACAGTAAGACGATCGTTTATCTAAGTGATTCTATCTCTTAACTCAAACCAAGCAAAAAACACATTATCCATGAAAGATTCGAATTAAACAACAACCCACGCTAAGAATAGCAAGGACACCATTCAATATACTCGATCAGTCATCATTCAAGAGACTCAAGAAAGGTAGGAGCAAACAATGCTCAACTATGAAGGAATACTATTGTTTAGTAATCTTCATAACCAACCAAAGATATGCAACACATACACTATCTCAAAATGCTTATGCCAAAGCACAACTCATCCAACAAAAGTGTGACAAACCCCACAATGGAACTCATGAACACACTCATCATGAAATTCGAACACCAAGCCAAAAGAAAGGCTCATCAATCGAACTACTAGAAGTAGTATGAAAATAAAAAGTTTTGTTTTAAAACAATTCTATCAAGAACCATACTTGAAAAAGAACGGTTTCTGTAAGATCAAAAAGATAAAAAACAAGATGAAAACCCTCTTGGTTAAATCATACTTGACACAAAAAAAAGACACTCCATTTAACAAAAATTCCTCACAGGAAAAACTCTCAAAAGAGACAACAAAAATGACCACTCAAGGGTGCTTAAGAAATTCGGCCAAGCCCTCTATTTATAGGCTTAGAATTTCGGCCAGCACCAATAAAAGAAGATCAATTTAGGACTCTCTAATCTTATCTCACAAGGAGTAAAAGTAGAAGAGTATTTGATCTCTTTGACTCTATCTAAAATCTAGGAAACCTTATCTAAATGACTTATCCTCAAGTAGAATAATATCTAGAAGGAATCTATGACTCCTAATCAAAACACTCTAGTTTTATTCAGCCCACATGGCTTATCTAACTAGATAAAATTTCGAAAATAACTCCTAGACTTAGACAACAACTAAATCTCGAAAATCAGCTCTCAAATTGTTGAAGTAAAATGTCTTGAACGCCCTTCCAAAAGTGGAATATTGGTCTTGCGCCCCTTAAGTTGTAGAAAACTCCAATTTATTCCAAAACTTGTAGAATTCTCTTTATTGACTCCAAAAGATTGGAAAAACACTTGAAACAATTAAGATAGTTTGCAACCTATCCAATTGTGTAGCAATGGACTCAATCTTGAACACTTTGATCAAATAGGTCGTCCATTCAAGAGCCTAAATGACTCTTCTCACTAGCTTGATCAATGATCTTCATGGAGCACACAGAGTCAAACTCTCTTGATATTCTTCAGCACTTATTTCCATGAAGTCATCATCTCCCTTGGTTTGAACCCCAAAGTTAATGACATTCTCATTACCTTGATCATAGCTCTCTTGAACCAACTCCCTATCACATAGGTAATCAAGATCCATCCTTTCTTTCTTGATTGGCCTGCAAAGTAAACTTGTTATTCCAAAACTAGAATGAAGGACTAGCTCATTCCCCTCACTAGGAGAATCACCATGGAAGGTTACATGATTCTCATCATGCGGGTACCGTCGAATCGAAATCGGCTACTCTTCCAAAGGTAGCCAGTCTCGGATCGGCTACCTTCCCCCGGGTAGCCGATCCCGCGAGGTTACTCAAACAGGGGTAGCCGATCATTCCAGAATTTTCTTGTTTTTTTTTTGAATTTTTTGATAAAAAAAAAACTTACCGGTGCATAGGGCGAGCTTCCCCCGACGTTGTTTGCCTCGATCCACTATTTTTTTAGTTCCCGAATCTTTGTAGATCTAACTTTAAAGATTGGGTTTTTGGGTTTGAATGTGAAGAAGAAGAAAGGAGAAGGAGGAGGAAGGAGGAGGAAGGAGGAAAAGGAGGAAGGACGGGAAAGAAAATGAGGGAGAAGGGCAAAAATGTCCAATTAACTGTAAATGAGTAATTTTTCCGACTGCGAAAAGTAATTCAGAAGAATGTGACCATAAAAATGATAGACCATGACTATAAAATAAAAAAGCAACAACAACAAGAAGATCAACATTATAAAGCTGGACCATCTAAACTGTAGAGAAATATGAATAAAAAAAAAACAACAGTAAGACCATCAACATTATAGATATGACCATTAAAAAAATAATTAAATAATTAAATAAATTGTGAACTCAAATATTTTATAGTATAAATTTCAACTATCATTTACGACTACAGATATTAATAATTGAATGGATTTGCTTCTTTTCATTGAGTTTGCTTTTATTTTGAGTAATACTTAATTAAATTTGTGTAAGTTTTTTTTTAAAAAAAAATTAAATTTGCGTAAGTTAATTTGAGAGGCAGTGGTGGTAACGAACTGAAATTAATAATAAGGACTGAATTGGGGATTTATATGTTAGATTTTTTTTTTTCCCAAGTTGGATGGTTATGTGATGAAAATGCAGGCAGCCATGGAGGTTCTGTGAGATTTTTTGGAGCTTGTTTCAGAAGGAAGATGATGACATAAGTTTCCTTCAATTAAATAAAAATGCCCACATATCATAATACGTCCTTAATACACTTTTTAATTTCTACAGTTCCCTTAAAGAGAATTTCTACAGTCTGCGGTGCACGATATTTTGCATTGCAGCCACTTTGATATGATCTTTTTCTTTTCTTTTCTTTTTTTTTTGTTGCAATTGTTGAACATATTACGTGGCTGGAAATAAGCTAATATTCCTATGCCGGTGTTTTTATGTCTAGTAACTGGAAAATCAGTCGCTTGTAAAGAGATTTCAAGAATATACATAAGTTCAACTTTCAAATTCTTATCACTAGAAGAATGTTGTTCATACTCAAAAGCTTTCAAATTGTTTCCTAATTCTTGCAGTACCCTCTGAATTTCCCGTTCCTTCAGTACAATGCTCGATAAATGGCAAAAATATTTCAACGTAATAAAAGCCATATCAAGCTACAAAAAAGTACCAGAAGGATCTAAACTCCCCTACAATGAAATAATGGAATGACTAACAAATTTAAGGGGACCAAATAAGTATATGAAGGCCATCATCAAGGGACTCCAGAGAAAAATTACCCCATCAGAGCCCATCATCCCCAAAAACTGGTCCCGCCAATGAAATACTGAAAATGGGTTTGAGCGCGAATGGGGGAAAAAACCTAAACGTAACCCTAAAGTGTATAATACCGAAATGATGGTGTATCTAATAACGAACGTATATATATCCAAGGTATGCAACGAACAGTCATTCAATCCTCCTTCCATTTGTTTTCATATTTGAGGAAAGCAAGAGCAGGATTGTCCTTTGAAGGAGCACGCACACGAGTTGACCTTCGAAGCACAGCCTCTTCCATAGCAATCTTCAGAGCTATCTCCTTTGATCTCTTTTGAAGTTCAAAACTATAATGGATAACAATAGTGTAAAAATTAGTATCATCCACTAAACAAGCACACATATGAAGAATCAATTGTGTTTTACAGATGTCAACAGAAACTAATTAGCAGCAGGAAGAAAGGGTACATATTCCTGTCAAAAGTATACCCTTTGATAAGCTCACTCTGACTAGAACAAATTATCTTAAGAAATATCCAAAAACATCCCCCTTTCATTATTTCAACAAAGCGTTTTAGAAGGTTTTTAGGGAGAGAATAAAAATGAGTTTCTTGACATAAAATCCACTTACCAAATCTTTTCGTGGTGCTTCTGCAATTGCTTCTTTAGAGCTAACTCTCTCACTCCCTTCACATTCAGTGATGCCAACAAGGCATCAACCTGCCATGCGGGAACAGAAAGCATTACGACTCATAATAAAATCACACAATCATGCACTACAGGCAGGCAACAAGTGATATTCATACCTCTTCCTTGGAGCTATAATAGCCCCACAGCGTAGAGTCGGAATTTTCCACAAATACTCTTCCATCACGGCGAAAGAACCAATACCTGTTGTAATCTCTATCTTTTCCCAGTGCTGTATGGCGTATAAACCTTTTCTCCATCTCCCTTTCGAGATATTCTTTCTGGAGATATTTATGGTATCATTAAATTACTTTAGTCATAAACTTCACTAGCCATGTAAAAATGATAGAATAAAAAGGTGTAAAATACTGATAGTTCGAGAGGGAAAGACTTACTCTTTGCTCTTTACTCTTCTTTTGAATTGTTTTTCTTATGTCAGCCTTCATCAATTTATGGATCTTCCTCTTTGAAGTGTCATTCGCATTGTTCAGAATGACTTCCTCATCGGTACCTTGATTGTTCGCTTGCTTCTTTATGTAGCTACTACCTGTGGTTTCAGCTTGTTCATCTTCACTGTTTTGCATTTTGGGGAAATATGGTGAAGTTAGGTCAACAGAAGGACACAAACTGAGACAAACACAAGATAAGCCAGATCAAATAATCCAAGTAATTTTTGGGAGGGAATAGCAATGTTGGAAACCAAACCTGTTGCCTGATACACGTTTTTGTGGTGGTATGACAGCTTTATTGCTCGATGTCTTCAATACATTTCCATTTTCTTCAGTTAAATTGCCTCCTATATGGTTAGTGGAACTTCCCTTAACAATTTCTGGAGACACTGACATGTTCTTCCCATCAGATTTCGATTTCAAGCTTTCCTTCTTCTCCCTTCTCTCTCGACCTTCTTCAATAGCATCCCCTCTTTTGATTGCTGCAAATGCCTGAAGCTCATCATAATTCTCATCCAGCTTCTCCCTCAGCAAATCTGTTTCAAGACCTTCAGCCACTAGTTCCTTTAAAATTCCTAACTTTACGTTAACATCCAAGAGCCCATAGTGGCCTCGCTTAATTGTTGTGATGTGACTAGTTGAATCCAAAATATCACTGATCTCCATAAAATCACACAGATACTCTGTCCAAGTGATTAAAGTGATCTAAAACAAGGATAAAGAAAAGATGTCAACAAGAAGATTTACATTTTGCAATAAGCTAAAAATCAGAGGACAAGATTTCAACTTTGCAACAAGAAAAGATGCCACGAATTCTTTTTGAATTCTTGTAACAGAGGTAACGGCTACCTTCGGTTTGCGTTTCCTATTCTGTATAGACAACGAGAACTTTCCACTAGCTTTCATAAGCAAGCGAAGAAGAGCTGAATGGCATTCCATGATTAGAACCACATTGCTGTCCTTATGGCAAAGAGCGCCCTCAAAATCTTCCAAAGAAAAAGGTGACAGGTGCAACAGTGCGCCAAAAGAAGTACAAAAATCCCACACCATCAAAAGATCACCAACACAGTCCATAGGGATCTCAAAATCCCTGCATGGGATAGGACGTTCTCTCAAATTCTGATCATCTTCAGCCAGATCAACTAGAAGATCATCAACAGGATATTTGAGCTGTTTTTTCAACCTCTTACCATCTGCAAAACAATTGCAAATTAAAGGAAGATTAGAGGTTAATGAGATAATAGAAACATTGAAATCCTCATGATCATCAAAGATGGAAAGACTGAGATTCAGGAATAAATCTAACAACAAAACCCAGAAGCAGTGGAGTGGATATAAAAAAACAAAACTGACGTTTCCTGGCTGAACAGGATAGTCCGTACATACACCTCTGACAAATCAGAGCAAAATATCGTCTATAACCCTAGTTTGTAAACAAAAGCACCAGAACTAACACACATTACTTTAGTCACAGGTGATAAATTAAGAAACAAAACCAGCTTAATCTGACTGAAGGAAGCATAATTCCAACAAACATTCATAAAACATTTCTACGATATATGCTAAGTACATTAATATCAGATATTAATGGAAAAGGTGTATACTCAGGAGTCAGGAATATTGGCTGATGATGTTCGAAACTTATTTATGCAAATCAGAACAGCAGATATATGTGGCCTGCTGTGCAGGGCTAGAGCAAAGAACAGTGTCATTAACCTAAATTCTTAGACCACCTCCACGCCAAGAAAATCTCTTGACACTTGAAAATGAGCTTTACTAATACAGAGAGCATCAAAAGTCACTTGTTCAGAGAAATGATACTTTTTCTGAGATTAACCAGTTAAATTCAAGGAGAATAACAAAAATTTTCTTTGACCACACAAAAATTGTATGCTTAGAACAAGAAACCAAAGATCAACTATAACAAATAATATCCGAATTAAAATAAATCAACTAGAACAAATTTTACCAGAACAGTTCTTCTAGGTCAAGGAACCAAAGGTCAACTTATAGATACTCAATAAATCAAGTCTCATTTACCACTTCAACTTCAAAAACTGACCAACTATATCTATCACAAGAAATGAACACACAGAAAAAAACACTTCAAAAGTTTTCAAGCAAGTAGCTAAACTGAATTTTGACAGCACAAACTCTAATAACAAATCAAAAGAGCCCCATAAAGTTGTACAAGGAAAGTAACCTAAAAATTAGGAATGAAATAGATAAAGCAACATTGAATTGGCACAGCAAACTCTGACATGAGGCAGGAATAAAGATACAACTTCTGAGGGCTTCAAATATCACTCCATCTTGTTCAGGCAATAAGAAATATGATTCAACTTAATAGAAATAATAGTACACTAATTTGATTATAAATATAGCCCTACTGCACCACCTTCAACAAATACTATGCACAATGGTGTTGAATGCTTGTGATATGTAAGAGCGACAGTGTAAAGCATACAAAACTGCAGCATTATAGCTCAAAAACAATGCTTGAAAGTGACTTTTTGTATTTGTCAAGTTCTACTACAGTAGACGTTCTATTGAATGCTCTGTCTAGTTAAATGTCACTCAGAGTGAGCTTACCTTCATTAGCATTTTCAGACAATGTTCCATCCATGCATTTGCTACCCTTTCCCTAAAAACCAAGAAAAAGGAAAGAAACATTAAACTCTACACTTCAGCAGTGACAAAAGTTTAGTGCAGATTATTTAACAATAAAAATGGAACACACAAATACCTGATCATCATGATGATTTTCAACATTCTTTCTCTTTTTGCTACAAACCACTAAACCATTACGGAAAGATACCATTCCTTTCATCACATCGGGAGGCTCTGTTGAAATCCCATGTTTCCTTGCCACATTCTCATGCAACACCCAAGGGCCATTCCGGTAAGTTGACTCCCTAATAAATGACTTTAGGACTCCTCTAGTAAAAGGCAACTTAGATATGAAAACTTCTTCATCTATTACTTCATTTTCTGTCACTTTCCGATCTTTGTTAAGCCAAGCAACTTCAAATCTCATCTCACTATCATCCTCATAAATCTTAATGATTCTACACAGAGAAGGCTGATTGTTCTTCATCCCATATAATTCACGTCCCTCAAACAGGCGTCCCTCAAACATCCCAGCAATAGCATTCACAAGATCTCTCAGTTTAAGCATGCCTGCCAAGAACAGTTACGCACATGAATATTTACATTCAGTATGTAATGTTAAACAGAAGGTGCACCAAACAGAAAATTTATTATAAAACAAGAAAAAGAAAAACACAGAAGGTGCACCAAACAGAAAATAACATAAAAAAGGCTCCCTAAGGCAAAGGAATTCTAACAAGCAATTTCAACCTTATATTGCAGGCATGATAATAATGTTGAAACAGTTACAAGAAAAAATGTAATGAACTTCAAAGCCTCAAGGTTGCATGAATCCGACCAAGGCCTATAAAAGGTTCATCCACAACCTCCATAGACTAGAACAATAACTTGAAAAAGTGTCAAGAAATGTCCAATCCACTGCGGTTCTATTTCTAGTACTCTTCTGCTACAAATTGTCAACTTCCTTCTTTATCCTAAGTATTAACTTTAAGCAAAAGGTAGTCATTGTTATGACGAAGAAGATGCTACGTAGCCAAAATCGAATGACATCACGTAGTTATTTCCTAAAACACCCGCAGACTGATCCAATCACCCTTCGGATATCAAGAATAGCAAGAAAAAGGTTTAATCTTTCAAGCATTCCTAGTTGACAGCATTTAATACAGCAACAAAGATAACAAAGATGATTTTGTTTTACTGGCAAGAGTGTATTAAGCACAACTAATGAGATTAAAGTAAGATCAGAGGTTGAAAAAAATTAGCAAAATGGGGGACGTCAAGACTACTAGCAAAAATAGCAGATGAAATAAATGGTTTGAAACTAACGGGAATCATTAAACTCTGTCAAAACAGCATACTCTTTTTCAGCCATATCCGAAAAATATCTGTTTCCCAAAGTTTGTTCAGAAAGCAAGTTACACAAGTAACCGACAACCTTATTACATGCTTAAAAAAAAAATGTTACTCAAGTAAAACAAATTCACATATGCAACAATTATAGAGCCTCTATACTACGAATGCTGAAGTTTATCTAACTAATAATATTCCAAATTTGTAGCTTGCAAGACATCCAAATAAAGCGAAGTTTAATAAATTACTTCCAAGAGCATAATCTTTTCAAGTCAAGGCTTATTTCAATTTAAAAAATACCAGATTTTAACTCTTTCCGTTTAAGCTAGCGCAACTCATAAATCTTCACTAGCATCGCTGCAGCTTAATAATGCATTCATTACAAACCATAAACAACTCATTTATAAAAAAAAATTACAAGCACTGACATAGCTATGGCAACATAGCCACACATGCAGTAAGATTCTGACTTATCAACCAAATTAAAACTAACACCAAAAGGGAATGAAAAGCATCTGTGACCCCTGCATCCCCAACTTGAAATTCAGAATGCAAGTAGAAAAAAAATAATAGTTGCAACAAAGTAGTTCTAGATTACATACAAACCAAACTACAAAATTCTTATTGGTAATATATGAACTAAATGAACATCATGACCTTTCGGGCTAAAATACAGTCCAAACTTTTAACTCAGTAAAAAAGGAGTAATGTTTAGCTACAATTGAAGTGCAACCACAGTCGTTGAGAACACTAATTACCTCTGACTCATCCATCATCCTATGTGGGAGGAAAAAAAACCAATGACTAGTTCTGTAACAGGAATAATAGATAATAAGAAAAAGAAGCAACCTAACTTCGAAGACAAGCCAGATATTAGCTACGAGAAAATCATGCATGAACATTTCCTTTTTCTGAACCCCCCTATGATATTACCACATGCAGTGCAACAAAGGAATGTACATTCTCAAAGAAGCCAAAGAAGCATCATATCCAGGATCCTTCACCAAAAAACACACACACACACACACACTATAAATGCAGGATACAAGGTCCAAGCATAATGCTGGAAGCGTTGAAGAATCTTTGAACTCCGAACCTTCACACATCCACCCATGAACCTAGTAGACCAAAAGCACAGAAGAACTACCCTACCACCCAAGTGACTAAACCTACATTGCCCATAAAAGGCTGCCTTCAGATCAAAAGGATAATAATAAATCAAAAAAAACTTATGGATTAAACGAGGAATAGAAAAGGAAAACCCAGGTAACTATCAACCGAACCAACTGCAATATTTCATTCCAAAACCCTTCGCAAAGCTAACCTTTTCGAGTTTCACAACTTAGAACCACATATTCAGTAGAATTAATGCCTACATCCATTTAGAAAAACCCTTTCTGCTCATGATGAAGGCAATTCATTAAGACCAGATTCATTCTTTCACATGTCCCAATAATTTGCACATATGATATCATATCTCATTCCATAAACATGAAATAACCACCAGCACATCTGAGGCAATACTTGACTATCAATAATAATCTAAGAAAAAAGAGGTAATGATCACAAGTATGGGCAAAACAAAAATAAAAAACAACAAGCCATGGAAGGCAGGGGAAGTAAAATTGCAAAGGCAGAGTTAGTAAAATTACTGAATTGAACTTGACGGAGCACTGGGGCAACGAATTGTTTAGGAATTTGACGAACTCTTTTGATGGCATCTTTCTCCGAAACCAAAGCCTCTTCATAGGTCAAATTCCCCTTCCCTGTAACTTTGCATGTCCAAACCCGCCGACGATATAGATTGATCCGACCCAAATAATCCCTTGCAACATCAAACAACCCTCAATCGAAACGAAGCCAAGAAAAAACCCGGAAAAATTCCCAGTTTCGTAAAATTAACACTTACGTGTACTGTTTGAAAATCTCTTTGGTGAAGCGAACTTGAAAAACTCGCTCTTGGGGCTTCAAATCCTTGGGCTTCGCCGCCAATGTGAATGGCTTCCGTTTGTACAAAGGCATATTTTTCTCTCTTCTATTCCCCCTTCCCAAACCCTAGAAACGAAATCACAGTAAAATTAAAAATCCTGCATCACACACTCGACATGCATGACTAAAATTCCCAATTAAGGGAGGAAAAAGAACACGAAAATAACAACCCCTCAATGAAGGGAGAAGAAGGAGAAGAAGAATATTTTACTGTGTGAGTGCGTGTTCTTCGTTTTCGTGATTTGGTTGGTCTCTTCGGAGAATGAGGGTGGAGGTGGTGGCGGAACGGTTTTATTATGCCTCCTCCCTCTTCTTTTCGTTCTCTCTCTCTCTCTCTGACTGTTAAGTCTTACGTGTAGGAGAGAGAGGAGAGAAAAAAAGAGCTACCACTCTCTCTCCTCTTACGTCTTTTCAGTTTTTCACTCCTACTTTCCTGTGTTTATGGAAACAACAAAAAGAATTAAAAAAAAAATAAAATAAAATCCTTTAATAAATTGAGTTTTTTAATATCAATTATAATATTCTTGGATTATTGAGTGTTTGTTTGGATATCAGCTTATATTTCATTTTACTACTTAAAAGTGGAAAGTATTTTAAGTTGAAAACTAAATGGGAAATGAAAATGTTGTTTAGATGATATTTCAAGCAAAAAGTTATTTGGATGTTGGTTTTGAAAAAAAATATTTTGAACTACATTTTGAAATATCGAGCACGAGTCATCACTAAACAATTAAATATTGTTAATTATAGTCACTTTAAAAAAAATTATTTCTAAAAACAAAAAAAATCACTAAACAACGTAATCTTGCCAAATTTGTCACTGAACTATTGTTAGTTCTAAAATGGTCATTACACTGACAAAAAGTCATTCAAGTTAGAATTTAAAATGTAAATCAGAAAGTTATTTGGATGATGTTTACTTTTCTATTGGGTTTTGCGTTTAAGAGGTAAAATGAGTGAAAATGTAAAATGAGTTGTGAAACAAACAAACACCGAACAATTTAGGCGAGACAAGTAAAAGTTAGAAAATACTACCAGAATTCAAACTCGACATAAAATTCAAGTTTCAACTTATCAAGTTTGAATCTTTCAAGTTTTAAACATAAGTGACTCAGTGTAAAAACGCGTCAATGATCAACCTAACTTAAGTTCACATAAGTACTTGCTCCGATCATTACTACAAGATATTTTAATTTGTGTTAAGTTTTACCTAATATATTTTTTCGATTGAAAAAAATACCTTAATACTATATTTTCACATTCATTGTATTCTCCTGATTGTATTAAAAAATATTTTTAAATTTTTTTTATCTCAATTGGAAAAATATATTAGATGAAACTTACAACAAATCAATAAACTAAATTTTATTGTTTATATTTTGTACTTCAGTTTTTCAGTACCATTTAATTCATTATAATATTTACTTTTTGTTATCAAACAAACTGAAGTGAAAAAATGATTAATCAAATAATTTTAAACATTATGTGACATTATTAAACAAGTCCTTAGTTTAAAACATAAGTGACTCTATTAACGGTACAAAAACACGTGAACTTCCACATAAGTACATAACAAATCTAACAAAATTATTTTGTTTTTTTCCTTTACAATCTTATACTCACTCCATTCACAAATAGATGTCGCTGGAGAGATTTCACAAAGTTTAAGGAGACAATAATTATCTTGTTAAAATACTATAATACCCTCATTTATTCTCAATTCAATTGTAGTCCCAATAAAATTCACTTCTAATACAATTCTACATTAAACATCACAACAATTTCCAATGTAAGGGTGATATTGGAAAAAATTGACAAAATATGCCTCGATTTGTGAGAACGACATCTATTTTGGAATATTTAAGTTTTCCTCCAACGACATCTATTTGTGAATGGAGGGAGTATATACTTTTTAATTGATAACCAGAGAGCGTTTTTTATCCTTTTTTCCCCCTTTTTTTCGAACGCTTGGTCATTGACTACTAGTGTATCTGTATGGTCAAAGGTTTTTCTTGATGTTTTACTAAAATGTGGGAGTCTTTTTGGAACTTATACTAAATATGGGGGGCGTTTGTTAACAATTTTTTTTTGGATTTGGAGATTAGAAATTTGTGGACCGTGGATTGCCTTTTTGGCATTTTCAGTTGTTTTGTTTTATCATTTTAATCATTTTTGTCTCTTTCATGTCTGTTTTTTCTTCTTATATCCTCTCTGCTGAAAAAAAGCCTGCAAACTGGAAAAAGAGCTTTACCTTACCTGTCGGAAAGGGAAAGGGAAATTACGCCGTGTTTCAGCCGGCAACCGGAACGGTAACTTCGACTTCGGCGATCAGAAGTCCGGTCAGGTTAGTTTCTGCTTTGTTTCTCAAGTGATTGTGTGGAAAATGCGTTTGAAGTAACCAATGCTTGCTGCCTGCTTAACTACCTTTTCCTCCAGCATTTTCACATTTGGATGTCTATAGCACAATGCTGTGTGAAGAAATACCTAAAAATGGCTCCTTTTGTTGAATTATGCTTCTTCTTTAATTTTTATGCAACCATTTTTGTTTTAAAAGATGGATTATCTGAAGGTTTACTGATAGTATCTGCCACTTTCTCTGTTGCATTACTACGCAACTAAAACTCGAAATAGTGTGCCATCAGATTATTAGATTTGGTCTTTTCCATGTTTTAAATGAGGGAATTAAAGATCACCTTATGCTGCAGGAAGTGAAGGATCATTCCAGATTTTCAGTAAATTGCAGCTAATCATAGTAAAGCTTCGAACTGCTTAGAATTCGAGTAGTTGTGTGTTTCTGAGTTGGTATACTGTGCATTTTCTTTCCACTAAGGATTTCAACACAGTCAATAAGTATTTGGCTGTTTTATAGATTTCATAAACCACAGTTTTGTTTTACTTGTTGAACCATTCATTCATTTGGTTGTTCTGTGGCAGTTTTGGAGGAAAAAAGCACCGGTTTAGCTCCTGCAATGGCTGATTTTATGAGAGAGAACCAATCTCGAACATATAACCATTACCACCACAATCCAGAACTCAGTCATCCCCATGACAATCACCATCACGAGGCTCATCTCGCATCAACTTCAATTCTCTTAATCCTCATTCCGATCTTCATAGTCATTGTACTCCTAGCAATACTCTTGTTGGTAATAATGCTTAGAAAACTGCAGTCCTATAAATCCCAAGGCAGCACTAAAAGTGGAAGCATCATAAGCAGCAAAGACTGCATTTTCGTTGCTGATCATTGCTCTATAAATATCAATTCTAGCCCTGGTAATAAATTCAGAGAGTTTTCCTTTGAAATGATCCTATGAAATTTTCTTACTCTTTTCTATATGACTATTTTATGATTGGTAATTTGTAATTATGTGCAGATTTGAAAGGTGGATGCTTATATGGAAGCAGTACTTCAAGTAGGATGGTTATTGCTCCAACTAAACTTAGAGGAGTGCAAGTGTTTACTTACAAAGAGCTTGAACTAGCTACAGACAAATTCAGTGCAGCAAATGTGATAGGTAATGGAGGGTATGGGGTGGTGTACAGAGGCACTTTGAGTGACGGTACTTTGGCTGCGATTAAGATGTTGCACAGAGAAGGAAAGCAGGGAGAACGTGCCTTTCGGCTGGAGGTTAGTAGTACAACTGTAGAAATCATTTGATAATGTTTAAAAACAGTTCCTTCCTTTCCAAAAAGTATAAATGAAGAGAAGGTAGAGGACTAGTGATAGAAACTGTTAGACCTAAGATATGAATAAGCAGTGTAGCGGTGTTTCCTGCTGACTTATGTAATCAATGAGGATATAGTTGTCTGAACATAATAAATCTGTTCTCTACACTTATGTAAGTCGCCGTGATCTCCTTGCTTCATGAAATCATGTGACGAATGCCGCTCCTAAAACAATCTGCGCTTGGTGAACCTTCAAGGACAGATTAAAGTTTCTGTTTCTTTGTGAATTGCTTACTTCTCTTGTCCAACTTACCCCAACTTCCTTAACTATGTTAAAGATCAAGAATTCTTCATTCCAATTCTAACATTTTATGTTGTGATGTGACAGGTTGATTTACTTAGCCGCCTTCATTCACCTTACTTAGTTGAGCTTCTTGGCTACTGTGCTGATCAACATCACAGGCTTCTGATATTTGAATACATGCCCTCTGGTTCTCTGCAGCAGCTTCTTCACTCTTGTAATCCTGAACTTACTAAGATTTTAAATTGGGGAATGAGATTGAGGATTGCCTTGGACTGTGCCAGAGCACTGGAATATCTGCATGAATACACCACCCCATCAGTAATTCACCGTGATTTCAAGTGCAGTAACATCCTTCTCAATCATAATTTCAGAGCAAAAGTATCTGATTTTGGTTTGGCAAAAATCGGTTCCGACAAGATAAATGGTCTCATTTCGACACGGGTATTAGGGACCACTGGATATTTAGCCCCTGAGTGAGTTTTCTTTGTTTGCTTTTCTCACTAAACAAAGTTGCTTTCCTCTGTTAAGCTATTGTCTTGAATCTTGAAACGCAGATATGCTTCAACTGGGAAGCTTACTACTAAATCAGATGTATACAGCTACGGGGTGGTTCTTCTTGAGCTATTGACAAGTCGCGTACCAATTGATACCAAGCGTCCGCCTGGAGAACATGTCCTTGTATCTTGGGTTAGTCATAAAATTACAACTCAAAATAATGATGCAGCAGAAGTTAATATCATAACATTTCTTTCCCCATGAAACCTTTTACAGGCTCTACCTAGATTAACAAACAGAGAGAAGGTGATGGAAATGATTGATCCAGCTCTGCAAGGTCAATATTCCAAAAAGGATCTAATTCAGGTGACTTTTGAGGATATATGCTTCATCACTACATACTGATAAACATTATGCTGGAAGAAAGTGCTCGAATTAAGCTCCGGTTTCTCTGTTGTTAATAGGTAGCTGCTATAGCAGCAATGTGCGTGCAAACAGAAGCGGATTACCGGCCTCTAATGACAGATGTTGTGCAGTCCTTGATTCCTCTGGTCAAGAATCTCTCGACAAATTACCCTTCCGGTTCCTTCAGATCCAGTCAAACTGTCAGTCCGCGGAAGTAACGCTTTTCTGACCTCTCCAATGACTGCAGTTCTGATCGAAGAATGTGTCCACTCCATACATAGTTCAAGATAGAATGAACAAAAGAATTGTATCAATTTTTATTATGGTTTGTGGAAGGAGGAAACGATGCAAAGAAGTTGGTAAGTAGTCTATTCCCATTTTCTGCTTGGAATGTTCGTGTTTTGCGAGATCGGAGGGAGGCAACAACGCAAGATGTCAAGGATAAGAGCAAGTAGGCTTCTCCATTTCAGGCATTCTAACTCAAGATTCTCTCCTGGATTATGTCGTAAATAAATTGCTGATTCTCATCAAGTTAGTTCATGGTTCGATTTGAGAAGCACTGATCATTCTTCTAGTGCCGGTTTTTTTTAATTGACTGATTCAGTGGTTTTTATGAATACAATCATTTAATTTATCATCGGTTCAATTTGTTGTGGAAAAGCTTAGCTTGTGATTGGTTATCTTGGATTATCAAAACCCTCCAACTTTGATCATTCTTTGAAATTGATTCATAATTTTAGACAACTGGATCCCTTCTCTAGTTTAAACACTTCAGTAGCAAAGCTAAAGAAGTTGAGAGCTATGAGGCCGTTGTGCAGAGTTTGGCCCCTGACCCTCGTTGTTGAGAACCCCTCTAGAGCTCCAGGTCTCTCTTAGCAGCCTTCGGCGCGCCAGGAGTGATCACCTCTTCTTGAGCTTCAGAACACAGCCACGTGCAGCCTACAGTAACCCAAGTATTCCTAAGCCACCCCTATCTTCCAATTGGATTGAAATGAGATGGATAGGTTCGCAAAATTGAGCAAATCTTCATTCATGAACTTCCAGTTCTTGTGAGATGATTTCTTACTCTGATGGACAAATAACTAATAATCTATATATGTTTTTCTCTTTTTTTTTTTTAAAAAAAACATACTTTCATTAATTTGTTGAAAATTGTCCAACTGCGTTCGACATTACAAAGAAACAGTCTAAAACACAATTCACAACTTCTATTACATTTTCTATTACAATTACACTGTTGTGTTTGATAATCTATATATGTATTTTTTTTTTTAACATACGAAGGAAGCACATTGTGCTTATAAGATTACAAAAGGAATCCTAATTGAATGCTCCAACTTAACCTACGAAAAGAAACCTAGGTCCCCTGGAACATAACAGAGAAACACCAAAAATTACCCAAAATCCACCACTTTTATTCAATAGAGTGCTCACTAATTCTTCAGCGAGGATAAAAACTGCGGCTATTTTCCTCTTCAAAATAACATATCGGGTTGTGAGAGTTGTTTCTTCTTATCTCCTGATTTTTAATTTTGCTTTCATATGAAATTGTTTGGATAGATCCGGAGGCTTACTCAAATTCGATGAATATCTTGTGGGCTATCTTTGATCATTATGATCACCCTCATATTGATTATTTTCCTCACTGCTCACAATTCTTTGTTTCATGATAGTGTCTTCTGAATTTTTGTCCAGAATTATTTCCTCTGAGATGCCTATTTCATCTCTGGTTTCCTGAGCACTTGAGCTCAAAACATCACTTTCCATTTGGGTTGCATTTGACTTCTTGTCGTGGGCCGCTATTGTTGATGAAGGTGCGGCTATTAGCTATTTGTGTAGGGATCTAAGTTGGGTTTTTCCTTACTTCAATTTTTCCGTTTTTGTCTTTGTTTCGATTTGTTCTCCCGATTGTTTCCCACTTCAAATCTCTTGGGCCTTGAGAACCCCATATTTTCAGTTTGATTAGTAAGTTCGTTATCTTTTGCTCCGTCTGCCTCATTGTGTGATCCATACAACAGTGCAAAAGGATTATTCCCAAAGGTTTTAGAGTTTGACCCCACCGTCTGCTTCCCCTTGTTAGTTACCGTTGAAGTCCTTCTTGGTGATCTTCGCCAAACTTTTTTCGGTGCGTGCATCCATTCTCCGGTTCCTTCCGGATGATGCGCTTCTGTCGACGCGGTTTCCCGGGTGTTGGCACCTGACGTCTCACTAGTGCCTCCTTGTATGGGTTCATCCTTGCTTACCGGCGTTGTGTTTTCTGTTGGTGGTTGTGATTCCCCTGCCACCGGAGCTGAAGAGCATGAATCTACACTATGTCCATTGCAACCACAATTAAAACAGATAGATGGGAGGTCCTCATACTCGACTTTGTAAAACACTCCGTCCACATCAACCATTCCTTTTAAATTTCTGTCAGATCCAACTGGACAGCAACTCTTGCATAGCGACCTCTTTCTATGGATAATGTGTTTCGGTCTGTCTTAAGATAAACACCAATAGATTTCACCACGTGCCTTAAGATGTCCTCATGAAAGTAGTGTAAAGGAAGTTCCGGAATCCGAATCCATGCCGCTACCGCTAATTGATTTTCTGTCCTTGGGTTAAATTTCGGTGTTTAGGAAAGAAGTCCTAAGGTAAATTGGATTCTTCACACAAATTGTCCACGGACTATTAAGCAACGCATTATTGTAGTCATCCTCGCGGCTCAATCGAACAAAATAATGGCCATTGAAGACATCCGACACCTCCAATTCCCCTTTGGGTTGCCAAATTGTCATCAATCGGTTCACTAATGCATTATACCAAACAAGACCGCCAACAGGGCTAGCCACAACAGTGAATTCCATGACAACCTTCATCTGATATTGAACCCTATCCAGAAAATATACAGATCCAATTCCATTCTTGATTTCATGGACTACATCTTCATCATTCACTTTAATTTGTTCCCTAGCTCGTGCTTTGGATTTCCCTTCCTGCTGTTAACTTAAAACAACAGCTTTAAAAGAGAATAAACCAAGTAGATTTTCAGACAAATTATCTCTATTCTTCACTTTTTTGGTAGCGGGGACAGGCTCGTTCTGTGGTCGTTGGACCAGCAAAGACAGATGCTGATTTGATCATCATCAGGTTGCTCTAGTGCTGCATCCGATCGATCGGCAACATCTCCAGGTTTTTTTTTTTGAAATACAGCTACAACGAAGCAAAATGTTCAAATTATCATCCCTCGCAAGGGCAATAATGGACCATTTCAGTCTTCCCAATGAAGCTATATAATAGCCCCAGAAACTAAAGTAAAACGGGGGATGTCTCTCGAGGTCAACCATTTTCAAAGAAACAATCTTATAAGCGTTACAAAACAGACATTTAAGAACAAATATCAAATTTACACAAGACAAATGTTTTCTTTTTTACGATATCTTCAATTCAAACCAACATAAAATTACTGGATCCTTTTAGAATCTACATTATCAAGCCAACTAGCCAAGTTCTATACCTACCTAATTAGTATAACGTAAATTCCAAACAAAAAGACCAGTATTTGGTTAAAACAACAGCAAAAGACTGATTGCATAAAGGGGGAGAAAATCGAATATCAAAAATTGATACATATGCATCTGGAGGCAACAAGATGTAAGACATGATCTTTTTTGCTTATCACCTACAGTAAGTATTCAAAAAGGCACCAATCTAAAACTAAATTACATTGCCATTATGAGATTTTACATAGGTTTGATCCTTCCATCTAGGGATCCCAGAACTGAAAATCTGTTGGAGTACATTCATTCTCTCTTCTACCATATCCTCTTCAATATCCTCTAACCGGTCATGTTGATTCTCCATAATCACCTCCAGATTTTCCAAAAATTTTGCCTTGCGCTTTAATTTTTTCAACTGCATTCAATATGGTATTTCATCATCAAACACAAGCCTAATCATCAACGGTAATACATTCATAAGATAAGGTTCAATTATATATATGAAACCGCAGACGAAAAAGAAATGAATGGAAGAAAAAAAAAAAGGAAACAAGTTGTAGCCTCGACTTGTGTCACTTTTTATCCAGATTTCAACTTTAGTAGTTAAACTAAGAATATTAGCATAAGCCAGAGCTATCCTTACCTGCGTTTCAATGAGAGTGGCCATTAAGTTTTCAATCTCTCTCTCCTCCTGATCAGCCAATAACTTGGCATGGGAAGCTGCCACTCCAAGAGAAGTTGCAGTTGCTGCCCTCATTCGCAAAGTTAAAGGTATAACATTCTTTGGCAATGTTGTTTCCTGAAGCTCTGTAAGCCAAAATCTCAACAGGTAAGAAAAATGGGATAATTTGTGCAACATAACTAGGAGAAACATTTTGCTTATCGACACTGTCAACAATAAGCTTCTAAATATGCTCAATGTTAATCTGTTTCATTTATCCTAACTGCAAAGATTTCGAGAGTGCTCACAGAAACCTTAACAAGAGCAGGAAGAACAACTAAGAATGTATCTTTTTGCACACAGTTACCTGAGATGGCAGGCTCCCTTTCCCTATTGGCATTTTCAGCATCGAATCTGAAAGAGTATAAATACAAGCCTACTTTTACTTTCCAGTAACAAAATATTTAGTGGTAGAGAGGAATAAGTGCAGGCGTGGAAGAGATATATACCTCTCTTCTTCATTACTTGGAGCAGGTAACTTGGACTCATCAACCAAATTGTCATCATCAAATATAACCCTCGAACAACGGTTTTCATAACAAAGCTCTGCCACTGCAGCATCTGCAGCAGAAGCAGTGACAGATTGCCCAACAGTTGCAGAAAGACGTGCCACCTAACAAAATTCCAGAGTATCACTCATGAAGCATGATAATATATTTTCCACCAAAACAAATGCTTGATCAATTGCCTCTTATTTTCAAAGTTTGAGCTTTTGTCTACATAATTTTGAATTGTTTCAGTTAGTTCTTCATGCTTCCAACTCTTTTGTTGCTTCCTATCTACAATAATCAATAGAGTACTCACGACCTATAAGTGAACCTTGCAAATACAGAAGAACACTACTTGCGATATAGGCAACAAAGTTAGGATAATCCGAAAGATCTCCATGCACACCTTAAACCAGTATCAGCGCTCCTTAAATAACACAAATAGCCCTTGGATTTAAGGTGAGTGACTACATTCTTGAGTATTTTATTGAACAAATCGAGCTGTTTCTCGAAAAATATGTATTCAGACGCATGAGTAGATAAATACGTAACCATAAGCAAAGGGAAACCTAACAATAGTTGGAAATAGGAGATTAAAAATGACGGATTTATTTGAACTTAATGAAAGACACATAGGCGTTTAAGGTCCTCATAGCTGACTCCGGGAATAAGCTACTATTGAATGTTTACTATTTTATTATGTATTTTAGTCTTTTCGAGGACAATAAAGATGACGTTATATTTTCAAATTATTATTTGAAGAAACTCAAGTTTAACAAGCAATGAATCAATATTAATAAGTCAATAGAGTGTTCTCCAGGCAACAATTTTCTTTTTTTCTTTTTTGGGTTGTGCGGTGCAACTCACCCTTAGATGTGATCCTTGCTACAATTTCCAAATGTTGTCCAAGAATTCCTAGATTTGTGAATTAGTAGCAACATGTGGTCGCAGGCTTAATCAGATGAAAACACATATCCATAATATTATACGGTGTTTAGTACATATACATGCTTCATAAAGCAAGGGAAAAGGATAAAGATCATAGCAGAAGATAAAAAGCAGGGAGCCTGGTGCATTAAACTTTTTGTTGCACAGGGTCTGGGACATAATTTGAGTGGAACTAGGACATTTCTAGCATGTGTATAAAATTGAAGTATTTTTCAATTGAAGCAAGAAAAATGCTTTCCAGATTTAATTAAACTTTTAAGTGAGCTTCAGTTTCGTTATGAACAGTAAATCCATTTCGTGAAAAGTAAGACTGATGGGGACAAGGAATGGTAGAAGAACCCTATCAGTAGGTTCTTCCATATTTATGCCCAGGATCATCATGATCCAAGGAAGGAGCCAAAGTGTTGGGACTTTGGTTAAGTTAATCCTTTATTAAGCAGTAATTTAATTATTTATTTCAGTACTAATATTTAGGAAAGGGTATTTTAGTATATTAGCTATGCTGCAGGAATTTCTTGGAATAAAAAGGAAATTAGGTGAGAATCCTAGTTGTCTTTGGTTTAGGTTAAGTTTTAGGCCTATTTATATGTACCTCATATGATGAGATTTTTTGGAGAGACGTTGATTAATAAAAATTCCTGCAATAAGCTTTGCTTTGCAATAGTTGTGTGACTCAACTAAATCCTTGATGTGATGCCTAGGATTCCTGCGGTGTGACGCCAAAGGGCCCTAAGAGTGATTCTTAGGTTTTCTTCTCTTCTTCCTTTCCTACCCTTAATTCCTGTTTTCTTGCAATTTCTAAGCTTGTTTTCCTACAGATTCTTTTAGTTTCCGCTGCATACTACTCTTTAATCAGCTTAAATTCTGATTTCTTAACCACCAGGTTTTTGTCCTGCGTCAAAGACAAATTGCAGATCGCAGCCCATGAGAAGTTCAAGATACTGAATTCCAACTCCAAATTTCTTTTCCCCATCAAAACAACAGTGTTACTCTTCCCACCATCAAAACCCCCCACAAACAAAGACATCAATCATCCAAATTGCATACCAATAGGAACTAGATTTCCAAGAGTGGACCAAGTGGAGGAGTGGTTATCAACATGTTTATTTTCAAAGGATATTATCCTTGTAGTTGTGTAGGGTAGGTAATTTTATTAGTAACAGATTTCTAGCATTATAAATATTAGGTTCTTAGTTATTCTAAGGAGAAATGTATTTGAAGTTTTGCGCTATAGGGCTGGTTGATTTAGGGGAGAAAGTGTCCAGATTCTGCACTTTTCTCCATCAAATCTTCATGTTAAACTAGTTAAGTACTTAGTTCTTTTACCACTTCTATCATTTGGCACTGGTTTCTTTACTGTTTCAATCATATAAACTCTCTCTAAATATCCAAAAACTTAGAAGCTCCCTAAAGTTGGCTAGAACTTAAGAAAATCTAATAACCATTCCATGGGTCTTAAAAGTAAAATTGACAGCGCAAACTATTTTCCTGAAAAATCATTGCTGGTTTTGGCTGAATTTTTTTAGACCAAAAGCTGAAGAGATGTCACTATGACATTCATATACTCCTAATTGTTTTTTTTTTTTTTTTTTTTGCTTAATAACATTCATATAAATACAAAACAACTCCATCTGTCCTACAGAGTCTAATTTCAAAACTGCACACCTTATTAAAAGTTGCAGAATATAATCTTTATAAGACTGGTCTCAGTGTCCTGTTCCACTTCCACTTCCACAATTTAGAAAAACAGGCAAATAGCAGAAAACATATCACTTAAAGTATAAGAACAAAACACTGGTAGCACTAGTGTTCACAAAAATAAGTTATGGCCAATTAAGAAATTATAGAGTTTTCACCTGTTTCATCAAATAACTGCTTGCATCCAACTCAGGCATACTGCACAATCTCTTTTGTGGGGGGCCTTGGTCTTCACCAGCTATGTTCTGCTGTCCATCCTTCTTGAGCTCTTTCTGCTTATCTTCCCCATAGCAAGATTCTTCAATCTTAGAAGCAGCTGTTGTTGTATGTCCAATGTTGTTATTACCAGATTTCATCTCCCAAAAGTTACTTTTGCTTACACCAGAACCCAACATAAGATTGCCAAAAGGTAGCTGAAGGAGCTTTGATATGCAATCCAGCTTGGTCTTTGTTTTCACATTTTGAGCAACAAGCTCCCAGTCATCTCCGTGCTTCAAAACAGATTCCAACAAAAGTAAAGTTTCAGCTTCTGTCCACCCCCCTTTTTCATTCTTGTCATCAATGAACTTGAAATCATAAACAGATTTCCTCCCGTAATCACCATTCTCAAAGCATGCCTTACAGAGGATAAAGCTCCATTCCTGATATGATAAGATCAAAGTAGAACACATCAACTACTTCTCTTGCCATGAAAACAGTCAAGATGAGAGGCTGAAATCGTTTTTCTTGCAGTATTAGCAACAAAGATACATACACAATTTACTAAAAGGACTGAGAACTGACAATAGAACTCCAGTCTGGCAAATGATTATGCAGAAATTCTCTTTTGCATGAAGAAACATTAGTTGGCACACTCCTATTCTACGAAGAGAGCAAAACAAAGAGCTTTTAGCATATAGGTTAGCTTTGTATCTGCTAGATCGTCCAAAAAATATTACCCTCATGCCTCACCAAAGATTTTACTGGCAGCTATGCCAAACACAAGCAAGATTTCTGACTGACATAAACATGCCATTTAGACCTTAAAATATGATAAACATATAAAATTTGTTTGGTTCCTCCAGTTTAGGCCCTTTTTCTTCTCTATTGACAGCCTATACTACAATGGTAGAGGTATAATTACGTCTAGGATAACTATAAGTCTATAAGCACAAAAAAACATCAGTGGACAACATTATTGGGTTATATCTCTCAATTTATATACATCAAATTACAGTGGTGCTTAAATGGCCTTGTAGCAATCTTATTCTCACTTCCACAATCACCACTTGTTTACCACTTCTCACATTTGGAAGTCACCAAATCCCCAAATTCCTCTGACATATCTCATCCCCCTTTGAATTTTGCTTTCCAGTAGTAAGAATATTTTGTACACAAATATTAAATAGGAACAAACACAGTAGTAAGCAACAATAAACAAGTCGTGCAAAGATATTGCCTGGTAGAACAGCTGGAGTCAAAAGTCCCCAAGTGTTTAATCAAATCACATCGTTTTCCATACTTACGAGAGAGCTGGTTTTCTCCCCTCTTCTAAAAAGAGCAGGAAACTTTGTTACATAAAAATGTCAAGACCCAGTGCCATCTTGGTAATGGGAAAACCAGATTCATGTCAAAGTCCCTCTTTTATTCACAAAGAATGCAATTTTATTTTCGCGTAAACAAGGAATGCAATTTATTTTTCACATATTTTGGGTGTTTCAAAAATTTTTGACAGATCATATAGGAAAGAAGAAACACAAGAGAAAGACATATGATTATCTCTTTCCTTTTTGGCAGAGAGGGAAAGAGGAACCAGAGGTGGGTAAAGGAAGTAGCAAAAGCATTAGAACAAGTACAGCAGGCAAAGTAACAGAGTGGAGAGAAAAATAATCGTGTGCTGAAAAAACTCTCAGCCTCAGCAACAAGTTCTCCCCCGAATATGAAGAAGTTGAACTGAGAATAAGAAAAGCTCATAATCAAGCGGTTTCTAAAATTACAACATTTGAGCTCCCTATTAGTTAACAAACCAACTTGGATCACGACATCGTTTCAGACAAGTTTCACATGAAATCTTGTAAACATGCAGAAAAATGCAAATAAACTAAAAGTGAAAAAAAAACCCCGAAATGATAACAAATTGTATAATTTCCATCAATCAATGAATTCACCAATTAAGAGTTAAATTACACGAATGCTTAAAATATACATGCTTCAAATTCAAATTCAGCCTTGAATGTACCTTAGGGTGTTGGTAGAGCCCTGAATCGCACCGCTTTTTACAACTCCAACAGGCGCGCAAATCCTTTTCCGGCTTCTCCCCATAAACATCCGAATACGACGCAAACGCCGCAAATTTGGACCCGCTCCCTCGCGGTAGAGGAAGAGGAGGCGGCGGCGGTGTGGCTATCTTAGTCTGATTAGGACCCAGCACAACCTTCACACCATGCGGTGCCCCTTCCTCAACCCTAACTCGTCTATCCTCCTCCTCAGACGACGCCGTTTTCCGGTGACCTCCGTCGAAGTTGATGAGCCCCCACTTCTCCAGGAAGGTGAAGACCTTGTGGAGGGTGCTGACGTCACCCACCAGCGACTTCCGGATGTCGGTGAAGGTCAGTTTCCGGGAAGGGTCTTCCCGGTACCTGCAGATGATGAAATCTCTGTACTCTTTGTAAATTCGGGGCGTCCTCGTGATGGAAGTTCCGTCGAAGAATTCCCGGAGCGATATCCTCTCGATTTCGTGAATGTTGCCCCATTGAAACCAACCTAAGAAGACGAAGAAGAAAGAAAGAAAGAGAGACGCAAAACAAAAAGAATTAGTTTCGAGAACCAGGGAAAACAAACAGGTGGGCCGAGTGACAGTGTGTGACTGTGTGAGAGAGAAAAGACACACTTACTGGAGTAGCTGGGAATGGTGTAGAGGTCAAGATGAGGTTCTTCAATGGTGGCGGGAACCGATGGTTTTGAGACGGAAGTCTCCATAGCCAAAACGGGTCGAGAGCGAAGTTGTCTGAATCCGCCAGGGGGTGGAAGGAATTACTTAAGTGGCGGTGAATTCGCTCATTTATTATTTGTGGATGAATACACCCCATAAATCTATTTTTTTCCCAAAAATTAAGAGAATAAATATATCATTAGAAGTATAATATTATGTTCGTTTATCATTTTGATTTTTTTTAAAAAAAAAACAAGTGTTAGAATTTTGTTTTATGGTGGTTAAAATTTCATAAAAATTTGTTGCGGTGACGGCAACTATAATTAAACTAAAATTTAATTTCATAATTACGAAATGAGTTAGATGCATTTTGCGTGTACAGAAAATATAAGGACATCGGATAAACTATATATAAAAAAAAAAAAAGTAAACTAATATCAGTCACTTTCTTGTTCATTACACTATATGGAAAAATAAAATATTCAAAAAAATTTATCAACAAATAAAAATATAATCCTAAATTACAACATTTATTGACGTATAAAATTGTATCAGTTAAAATAGATCATTTCTGAATTTCAATGAAGGTGATACATATTGTTTTAGTTTTGAACCTCAAAGAAAAAAAAAATACACTCGTAAAATGAGTAAAATATATAATCAAATTTCTATATAAAAAAAACACAAAGAATAGAAAATCTCAAATTTAAAAATTAAATTCTAAAACAAAAAGTTAAAGATGAATTGGAAAATAATGATTAGATAGTTATCTCAATAGTGGTGTGATGAAGAGAGGCAAAAAGTGTTTGAGGCAAATGCTTGAAAAAGAATTAAAAAAAAGGAGAAAATTGACAAAATTCTTGTTTTGAAAATCATATATTCTTAGATTCTCGATACAAATTCTTTTATATTCTTTTGCATTTATAGAATTTTTTAAATTCTTATTAATAAAACCATTCAATTCAAAAAAAAATAAAAGAAGAAGAAATATATCGAGAAATTTAAAGAGTTTATAATCATCAAAAATAGTTTTTCGAACATTCAAATTTACATAATAATAAATAACTAGTGCAACCACAAGCTCCGCAGGCGTTGAACCGTATTATGCCAAGTTTTAAGAAGTGTGAACATAATAATGAAAGAACGAATATTATTCCTGAAGTACAAAAGAGGAAAAAAAAGGGGAAAAACTAAAAGAAAAATAAACCATGGAAGAAAAGGAACGAAAACTAATAAACATTAAAAAAAATTGTATTGATAGTTATAATGAAAAAAAAGAAAGAAACGACCAATAAGGAAAACGTATCCTATGATCTAATTTTGTTTTTCCTCCAATGTTTCTAGACATGCACTCAACTCACAAAACTGGACCTTTAAATTCATGAGTTGTTCTTCAAGTACATTCACCTGTATCGTGGCAGTTTGGATGGAATAGTAAATATTATTTATTAGTTTTTCAAGACATGAAATTCAAATGCTCCATGATCTACTGATACACAACAGTTGCAGTCTTGATAGTAGCTAACCAGCTCTACTTGAGTGGCAGCTAAAATCATCAAACACATGTTCAAGAGTTATGATCTTTTGAGTGAAAACAACTCCAAAGCTTCAATTATATAACCTATCAATCAAGTCATTCATAAGATTGTATAGATAATCTTTCAGAGGTCACTAATTATCTTGTCAAGTTCACCTCCTATAGAACTCAAGCTCGCATTTTTTCTATTTATGAAAGATAAATAAAAGAACTCATTTACAAGGACAATATATCCATAAAAGTTTACTTCATCCATCAATATATTCTCTCCGTAGATTAATATAAAACATTTATTAAAGGATGTGGAAAATAAATGAATTAGGGTTTATTGTAAGGTTATTTTAGTAATTTCATATTAGTAGGATTAGGGTTTCTTTACGTTATTTTCCTATTTATTGGCATTGTCGCCCATCATTGTAACCGACTGTTGATTTTATAAAAAATTTGAGAGTGCATCTCTTTGTGAAATTTCCTGGTTCATTAGTTGGTGGATTTTTGGATGTGTTACATCGCGGTTTTTCATACGTCAAATCAACGAAAATTTAGGAAGGTTGATTTCTAGGTATCCTTGCACCAAACCACTAGATTTCAACGATTTGATTTAACGTTTTTGTTCGATTGGTTTCAATTCAAATCTGGAGCCTTCTGCTAGCTGCATCATTTATTCTCTTTCAACTCTTTAATTGACAATTTTAGTAATTCAGTTATCGATTTTATTAAATTAAAAGGAAGATTACAGAAGGCATTACTTAAAACTTATCCAAAAAGAAGAACTGTCTCACAAAAATTTCTCTCATAATCACACGATAGTTCTAGCAACTAAAGTAAGAACTACCTTACAAAGCTTAGTTATAAATCCCCCAGTAGTTCTGTTTCTTTATGACGGAAAAATATATGTAACTAAGAACTATTTTACAAAAATTTTACTGAAAACCCCTAACAGCTCTAATGCAATCAAAATAAAAATTTTACAAAAAATCTTTCTATTAAATGTTTTACTTTCTTACCCTTAAATATGGAAAAGACCCCTAATCAAGATACAAAAGGCCTTTTTTCAGAAGGTAGCTCAGAAAAGTTATTGTATTCCATTATTATACTTCTCGCTCTCTTTTTCCCCAGAGAATTTGCAACACTATTAACTCATTTAAATGAGAAAACTCATAAACTTTAAATATTGAATCAGTTCAATTAATTCATTTGAACAAATCCAAACTTGAAGACAGAACAATACATTTGAGTGCAAAACAATGGAACCATAGACTGCAAAAGGTCTACGTATTAATCTATAATGCCCCCCAGCTATGAAAATGAATGGTGATCATTTGAAACTGCTTATTCCTATGGATCACTTCTATCATAACAATATAGAAAACTATCAGATGCCCGCATACCCTTTTTTTGGTTGTTAACATCATAAGTCGACACTTTATTGTCACCAGATCTCATTGTTTAGTCTAAAAATATTTTGTTCCATCTTTCAATTTTGATTTTTATGAAATTAATTGATTAAGGTAATTTAGTGTTACAGTTTAGTCTTTACATTCGAAGGTTCAAGTGGCAAAATTAAGAGTTATCGCCACCCTTTTGTTGCTGACTTTGAAATTACATAGTTCGAAACTAACAACATTGTTGGTAGAGTAATCAACAGATGAACAATTATAATGATATTCATTTACTGATGATTGACTTAATTCGTAGATTCGTTGGGAAAACGGTCAAGATGAAGCATTAAGCGACAACATCCAGATGGAAACCTAATAAGTAGAAGAGGCCTAACTTGAATACAAAAGCTTAAGCCAATAATTCCTAAGTTAGTCTTACTTATAAGGTGGCTTCCATCCCCTCCAAGCACTAATGTGGGACAAACTAAATTGACATATAATCTCTACAGGAACAATGGAAGACAATAAATAACCAATGAGAAAAATATTTTACATGTGGTCTAAATTTGTTAGTTTTCCAATGTTCCAATGTGTGCGTTCAGATCGTGGAATTGGCTTTTCAAAAGAACGGCGGAATGTAATCACTATGTTGTGTAGAATAATCTATATTCATGGCTACTTTATTAATATATTTATCAATATCGTTACAACTTTAATAGAATAGTTGTCACTCCCTTTATTTTTTAGAGGTGAAAATATGGCTATGTGGGAATCTTAGACTTCTCCTTACTCTTGCATAGTGGGTCAAGTTAAGAGATTCATTTTTTGGTTACAAAATAAGATCCAAATCGATGTGCCTTCATTATGACTATTAAAATTGGACAATTCATAGTTCACTTTCTACATATGTAGTGTCCATTATTTGTCTCTATTTCTCATTTTGGTGGAAGATGAATTTAGAGCAACCAAGTCAACAAAAGACAAAGTTATGCTAAAATGGTAATGTAGTCCATTGATGTCTCTGTGTAAGGGAGGGTTAGAGTTAATGGAGGAAGTTATCCATAATCTTTGTGCATCCCCTTCCAATGGAGTACAACCTAGCTAGTAAAATATAGTTATTATCTCAAGATACCATTACTTGACTTCCAGATAGGATGTATTATATGAGAAAACATAGCTTTCTGTACCAAATATGATCGGAAAGTTCATATCCAAAGGTCACTTGATTGGTTGAGCAGAAACAACATGAGGGATATGATGAAATGCTTCAGATGGTTTTTCATTGGTATTCAGATTTACCAAATAGATAATCATATACACAACAACATCGTTTACAGATTTGATAGTGGAAATTTTTAGCCTAATAGAAAATAACTTTTCACCTTATAGCTTATGTACTTTCTCCCATTCCAAAACCTTTTCATACTAACATAAATACACAAAATGTTTAATCTATATAGTATAAAAAAGGAAAAATATTATTTTAGAGATGTATATCAACTATATTAATCAAAATTTAGTGTCTACGTGTTAAGACATTGAGTACCACTTCACTTATTCTGACTAGGCCTATGATAGTTTTGCCAAGAATTTTCTCAGCAAGAGAACCATATATAAAAATTATGGATACTAGCAGTGGCATCAGTTAAATTTATATTAAATCCACCCATGACAAAAGAACGTCAATAGAAAGTCAACACTAGAAATAAATGCAAAAAATGTAAGTACGGGACGAAAAATTTAACAACTTTTTCATCTCATCTTGGGATTGGAGGTTGTTCAAGAGTACAAATGATGGACTAGTAATTTTCATTACAGTCAATTAATCACAAACTCGTTGCACTTTCGCCAAGCTATGTACTAATATCTTGGTCAAAATCACGTAAGGTCATATTTCTTTATATACTGAATTTTTGTTTGTATATTAAGAAGAACAAGATGAGGAAAAAGGAAATGAATATTTAGAAAATTAGCATAGACAATCAACCTTAGCTTTTAATCCATGAATAGCTAAGTCAGCCAATTCTGTAGAACGTCTTGTTTTATGAACATGAAAATGTTACCAGTCATTTTTTTTTATTGAGAAATCCTTGTTTGCAATGCATGTTTATATTGTTTTAATTGATTGTTGAACCCTATGAATTGAAGGAAAATGATATGATAAGAAAATAACAATGGTAAAGTAATAATACTAGACA